GACTGACAGAGAGCTAGCAGTTAAAGGCTCTCACAGTGAAATGGTAGACTTTACTGACACATGCGTGACGTATATAGAGTTGCAGCATAATACGACAATGAATTAGCTGTTTCATTAAATATGAGATCGGTATCAACTTGAGCGAAAGTTCTTGAACTTACATGTAATGTTAAAGAGAGTACTTACAGCCAATCTTGTCTAATGTTATCTTTGCTAGCACTGATAGTTCCATTAAATGCTCGACAATGCGTTTTAGCGCACACTCGTTATAGCAAATCTTGCACCTTCTATTCTAAAAGATCTGCGAGTCCATTTTTTGCTGAAAATTTCATAAAACATTCATGAAAAGGTAGACCAAGTACGGTCGGAGCGCACTACTCTTGTAGAAAAAATACACGAGCAAACACCTTTTATGGTCGCGGATTTCCAGGGGTTGTTTGTTGACTCAAAGCTACTTGTTGACTGAGGGTGGAAATTCAATTTAGCGAAAAATTCGACAGAGAAAAGTGCCTAAACGCGGGCGTTTGCATCTGCCCATGTCTTCATGCAATTCACATAAAAATAAAAAGGTTATCGCACCCCATTCGACTGGCAGTGCTTGAAACCCACTATCATACCCCAACTTTATTTTTCCGAAGAAATACTCTTTGGCAGCCAAACTCTTTGTCGAGGCATGTATTCTAGAAACTGCTTCTTGTTTCCCACACACACAGTTGGCACATTATCAATAAGACGGAACCAGTTCCGTCTGGTAACGGCACATTTTCTACGAACTTTTAATCGAATAAGAGATTTTATACGAGCCCCTTGTTGAATAAGTGCACATAAATGATGTGGACAAACCGGTTACTTTTTGATGAAATTAATTTACTTTTTCTAATATAGTTTCTAATATAAACAAAGCTGTTGTAATAATGACTCATCTTTAGGTCAGTCAATATAGGCGTTCAAAAGATACGAAAGAACTATTTTAAAATGCTCTGGCTGTTTATACTTTGAAAGAATATCGTCACTAAGCTAGCGATATACTTTAGTTGGTGTAGTCCTAATTCTTTTACCATCCTAATCCAGAGAAAATATCTGGAGATTACGCTAGCGACAGATTTTAGGTGATAACGCCTTGTCTTGACACCCTAAAGATTATCAGATTTTGAGAAAGCTGCTGATCGCAAAAATCTCAAACCTATGCTCTAAATGATCGAACTGAAAACTGTTACATACGAAAAAAAACTGTGGTGTTTTTACCTAAACCTGGGTCAGTAGTTCGATTACGTGTGCAGTATGATGTTTTTGAGTTAGCCGTAGCTAGAATTGGCTTTAAAACTGCTTTTGCTAGAGGTTTTTTTTTGACGCGTTAAGCGCAGTGCGGCACAGCCTCAACTTAGAATGTCTTAGAGGAATTGGATGTCCGAAATATACAGGCCAACCGCAAAAAGGCGACCGCTATCAGAATCACTCTATTTTGGCCTGAGGTGATCGATTACTTTGTTAGGCTGCGTTTTCCGTGGCGAGCCTTCGGCGTCGAGGCCATCTACCTACTATTGTTTGTAGTGGCATTGGGATAATAAGCTGAGTTTTTTATTTGACGATTTCTAAGTGTTTGCCTTCACGGATCAAAGTAAGAGCAATTGAATAAACCAAGCTGGCCGAGTTGACAAATAATGGACCCGATGCTATTGGGCTCGCCTGTGTCTATCACCATGGAGAATCCAAGTACACTTCGTCGTTAGAATGGAATATTAAAGTAGTTCCTCCCTTCCAGTCATCAGGTTCTCCAGATAGGTGTCATTTTTAGGACTACTATTTCGCACTGTTGTTGGCTCCAGAAGCGATCTCTACCGAACTACTTCCTCAGTATCTCTTAGCGCAGTCCTTAAAGCTACAACGACTAATTGTTGGCATATATTGTTGGTATAAGCAAGCTAACTGAAGCAATAAAACTTCCTTTACTAGAGCTCCGGAACTTCATGAGTGAGCGCTCAAGGTAGACACGGGCCTGACACACCAGAAGAGAGAACACCGCGGTAGATGCAGACAGACCAAGCTTGTTGACGTGTATGATTTGCCACAGCTCTTTTGCATTGGGCAGGTTCGTTATCGCACACATTTTCAGCAACAATCGTGATAATTATAGCGGCGACGATTTTTGCTATCATCGTTGCTAAGCACCATCCCGCTGATTGGCTAACTGCATATCCGTCTTTGCAACAATACCCTCTGTTGTTACAGTACCTACTCGACTAGCAAACGCGGAGTTTTCGACGACTGCGTCTATCATTAGAATCAGATGAGAGAGATACAAGTACTAAATGCATGGAAAAATCGATGGAAAGCTTGTTGCACCCTCTACTGGCTGAAGCTGATTTTGTGGACACCCCTGTTCCCCTTGGAGAGCGAACTACAAGAGGAGAGTGACAAAATCGTACACTAATATGTATTCCACCATCATCAGCATTTATTTCAATCTGCCGTTTCCTCTTGCTTGGCTGTAGCGGTGAAGCCCAGTATTCAGGTCCTTATTTATAATAATCGAACGACTTCGACAGGAGCAACTAATACTACAAACGTTTCTTAACTCGGTGATGATACTCGGTGTGGTACTATTGTGATCTCATATATTTCATTAGTTTTTTAATAGATGCAAAGAGATATTCCTAACAGGTGTATGAGACTTGAAATAATTAACTGCAGAGAGCTCGACAGAGCGTGATCGGTTTAAGTCGGGAATTTTGTTTACTATATCTTCAACGACTGTATATGGAAAAAAAAAACAAAGCTTTCAACAAACTGCTTTGCGGCTGTTAATCTTGACGGTCATATTTATTGAATGACTTCTGGTCACAGCTTTAATTCGAGTAAACATTTATCGGAGGCTCGTTTTAAAGTTTCCATTCGCAATTAAGCAGACCCTTTTGTGATAGCGCTAGCTAACGAGCCGACTTTCTTATCTCGAGGCTTATTAAACTCTCGTTCAATAGTCCTTCATATACAGCAATGGAATAGATTCATATATGGTTGCCATGTGTGCTTTGAGGTTATGCCCAGGCTTTCAAACAACTAACCCTACATTAACAGCATAGTATGAGCCGGTGTGTTGTCTTGCTCGAAGGTGTACGACTTTCTTTTACATGCATTATCTGGCCGCCGTTATATATCATTTGGTAGAAATTACAGATAAACCTCTTTCCTGGCGGTTTCAGTTTTTGGTACACTAAATTTAAAACATGAATATTGGCCAGAAATTCGATTTTATCACAACGGGCACGTACGATTTCACGAATCACGAATAAACCAATAATCGTTTCCATAATTGATTTTTACGTCCATGATTAAAAAATTTCTAGACACAAATCAAAAATTATTGGCTGTGATCTTCTTGAGAGGATTAGAGAGCTGATGAAGTCTCGGGATTTTAGCAGCCTCAAATGTGACTGCGCCACATAACGTGTGTCTAAATTGTATCCAACAATGGACGATATGGCAGTAGCCATACCCACAAAACGCTTTTGCGCTACCGACCGCATCGAAGCAGTAAAATACCAACGATTATTTTTTTCAATGACTTCAGTTTTCTATGGAATGGAGTCCGCACTACTTTTTTGTTTGCCATAGATCATCATCTTACGATAAACACTGTTCTCCACCATGGCTAAAAGCTCCCTTATATCATTTTAAAAGGAGCCCTTATCTAATGGTATTGGTTCCACATAAAGGCATTCGTTATATATATACTGACAGGTCGGACATTTAAACTGGTGCATTAAAGAAGAAGGACTCCTTTACAGCCGTAAAAATGTGGGTACTTTGTAATCTTTTGCCCTTCGTGTGTCTCGTTTGGTTTTAAAAACGGAAGTACTAGAAAAAAAAAAATTCAAATCAAGTTTTATTTTTTGGAATGTATATTTTGATTGGATTATCACTGAGCGTTCGCTGAATAAGCGGAATTTCCTAAAGTTGCTTATTATCGAACCGGTCAAGAACTTTTAATTAAGTATACATGTCGCAATTTTACGACTCCTTAGAGTTCGTAACTTTAACTTTTTATCTATTGGACAAAAGAAAAATGATTACGTACTTTACTAACTGAAGTAATGTAGAAATTCTCAGCAAATCAAATACATGTCATACGAATAAAGAACTTAAGAATCTGCCTTTTTGGCATAAATAGTTGATTTTATTGTCTAAACTTGTGATTATGAGTCCTACCCTATCTCCTGTATACGTTTTGGCTTAACAACAAAGTCAAAAGTTCTTAAAGTAAACGAATCAAAAAACGTATTTTTTTCCAAAAAGCCTTTACTTGTTTATGTACAGCGTGCCATTGACTGGTTTAACAATTATGAAGAACGGGGGCCAAGAACGAGCATTTGACGTACTTTCTATTTACTTCGCTCAGACAAAGAAGAGGGGCATTTAGGTGTGGTTTTTATAGAGTGTTTATGCATGACCTATGCGCAGCTCCAGCTGCTGCACAAAGTGGCCGCAGCAGAATATCTGAAATACTTTTTCTTTTTTTATCTTTTCTATACTGCGAAGAGGGCTTTCCACAGTCGTAATGCTAAACATTGCGGGGCGTTAGTTTAAATTATGGTAAGCTGACTTTAATAGGATTTCCCAATGTAACCTCTAAACTCATTTTTAACTAATGTACATAAAGAAATTCAAAAACTACGATGGTTTTCTCTCCTATGGTTGGCAACAAAGTTCAAGGAGAATATCCGTGCCAGAGATAAGGCCAGATGTATGCGGAAAGGTGGCCAAAAACTGGATGAAGCAGATGATTGCCATAAGGAAATGCCAAAGGGATCTATCTTACTGATGTTGTATTTAAGTAAAAGATATAAAAAGTTCGTATGTATAAAAAACATTTACATAAATACGTTCACTTGTGTTCGCTTGGCGACATTTTGAAGTTGTCTCCGTCCGAATCGCCGTCCTTATACAATATGCTCCACGTCCACATACATCGGTATTCACGATTGATAACTTCATTACACGACTTACGTGTACGACAAACATCAAATGCAGCATTTATTGGTTTAACAAGTGCATATATTCACCTTGTATATTAAGGGTTTCCGATATAAACACTTCCAAGCTACAACTTTTTCTTGAAGTTTGTCTTTATGTTGCCATTTATGGTCTCACACAAAAATCGGTTGTTTGATTCAACTTACTGCTCGCGTTGGTCTCCTCGCAGGCACGCACTCTAACAGACAGACATGTCATGGAATTGCCACTTGCATCTGCAAAGCACCAGTGAAAGACTGCCACAGTGGCCATGGTCATAGGGACAGATTTGGTCGTCGGAATGGTATTGGCTTCTAACTGTGGCAGTAAGTTATGTCCCTCACGAATGCACGCACGCCCGTTACAACCCAGGGTATCTCGTTCTCTAGACTTGCTGTCTTTGCCATACAACGCGGGGCTGATAACTTCTATGAGGAGTTAAGCAATCATGGCAGTTGCTATCTCTCATGGGCAATCTTGCTCTCAAGTACGCCGAGCACCAGAAAAGCGCTGTCATATGCTGCTTGGTGGAAAACCACACATACGTACGAATATATACATAGCGAACATTTGTATAATTATCACTGGCATAGCAAGCCATGCACTATTATCCACCACAGAATGGCACAATAAATCAGATAATTTTTGACGGCTTTACGACGACATCCGGTATTTCTCCCTGCGTTGTTCCGACCAATCTAATGGGCACCAATGATACGGCCCGATGTGAGTGCCATTTGTCATTACCAACGTCCACCACGCCTTGAAACTAGTCTACATAGAGTAATATACCGAGGGCGCTTCCTTCTGTCCCGTAAAATCAATTGGACCACTAGCTGTTGGTAACCTTTTCCCTTGAAAGCTGTCACCGGCAAAGTAATAACGGAAATCTCGGCTAAACTGGAAACGATCATGTATACTAATTTGGGCGCCGGACTTTGCTTTCGCCTTCTCGAGTTCGACGAGTCACGTTCCAAGTGATAAACTTAAGCCCAGTTCTGAGACCTGTTAGAAGCGTGCATTTGTACCATGCTGAAATAACAAAATTGTACGGGACAATGAATAGAGGTAACGCTCTACAGCGATCTATATTCAGTGTAACTGTTTTCTAGTATAATGAACGGATACACCTGTTGATACAGTTATGAACTGCGGAATCAAGAGAACCTGACCTATTTACCTCATATATATGTCATTACTCAATAGCCTTTTTCGTGCAGTCATATTGGCATTCGTAACATCACGATGATATGCTATCCTTCTCGACTCCTTCACGATGATATGCTATCCTTCTCGACTCCTTCACGATGATATGATATCCTGCTAAACAGAACAACATATATTTATTGCAGACAGTGCAAGAGGGTGCCTATCACGCGATTGTACTGTCTGATCTCACGGTATAGGTGATATAGGTGGGCCTCTTTGGGGCCCTGCTTATATATACTGCTTATAGTATAGCAAAGCGTGCGTCAAAGTAAGGACAGGCCATGTAGCGAGTAAGATTTTGCCGAATAGATTCCGAATCGCTTTGTCATATTTTGCATAACTGCACAGTCTGCTAAAGTGAGTGATAGCGATACGTATGTCGACTTATCTGACAAACTGGCGCAATGGAGATCGTTACCACCAAATCCGTTGCTCCTTCAATATAAGAAAAACGAGTACATTGCAAATACACTACCTTTCTATTTTATTAGGTGATACATAGAAGTCGTCAAGGGTGCTACATACAACGACGACATGGATTCGGTTTCCCACCTATTATTCTAGGTAATAGCATGGGCAGATAAGTGAAATTGAGTTTGATCTGGTCACCCGCACACTGGCCTAGATTTAGAGTTCAAGAAACAGCTCTGGGTGATATTTCCCACAAACGCATTTATAAAGTGGAGAACACGCAGACTTTAAATTTACTCACGACTAAGGCGAACGAAATCTATCAGCCCTCGGAAACACCTGCTCCACAGTAACCTAATCTTCAGTAGGTTTCCAATTCGACGTCCATCTATACAATTACCCTGAGCACGTGCGAATTCTAAGCCTTCTTATAGGAGCATCGGCCGCCTGTGAATCGCCCATCAAGGACAAGTGATCCTTTTTCCTGAACCTTACATGACTCTTCCTAGATACGATAACGTTCCCTAAAGAAGGACCAGCGTAGAAAGAACAGCTTCAATCCGAAGATTGTTTTCCTTCAAGCGTCAGGGCGTGTGAAGTGAGTGACCCTAGATCTCTATACGTGGCCGTCGGCATCCGTCTACGTTTTGCGATTCCATAGATCCTTCATTGAGCAACACGTGTAGTCGTATAGTATATATACACGTATAGAGCCGACGTATAGTTGTTACCGCGTTAGCGCTGTCATCAGTGTCGATAGCGAGCAGCGCGCCAGGCTGAAGCACTCTGGATCAGATAGAACAAGGCTAAGCAAAACCAAGCTGAACCAGCGAACGCTGCGGGCTCGATAGGCTTGTCCCTTTTACGCAGTTGCCTGTCGCTCAATGAACACTGGCAGGGCGGGAAAGGTACAACGCTTGTAGTCGCCTGCCTGATAGCAGAACAGAGTCAAGGACGAGAGCTTAACCGTGCTGTAGAGAGGGCGTGCCGTGTTGTCGATGAACTCCGCCAGTGAAGCTGCACTAGCAGCAGCAAACAGCTGCTGCCTTTATCTCTGCTCATTTTGTTGCCCCTTAGTAGACGCAGGCCCTTTGTGTCCTGATGTCCCCCTGAAATTGCCTCTTTTGTTGGGGCAACGGCTTTTCTCTACTTAGCCTCAATGTCACATGAAGCGACCATGTCTTTGGCCGGTCGACACAAACCGACCATCGAATGTACCTTTGGCCGTGTAGTTCCTGCTATCCTAGTCGGTTCTTGACTGGTGTTCGCCTCTTTTTTGCTAGCACTACAGCAGAACAATGTTACTTGCTTATATCAGAGCCTTCTATGCGGGCTAAGTGATTATGCATTGTCGGTTTTTTGCATAGACAACTGCCCGCAGCGACTTCGTTTCCTAGGTGGATAAAGAATGACTTTTCGGGGGCTATTCCACAGGCTGAACGCAGAGCTGCTACTGCCAGGGGGGTTGTAGGGGTATTCTCGACGACGCGCAACGCAGGAAAAACCAGCCTCTTTCGTATGGTGCTCCATCATGTGCGAGCAAACCAAAAGAACGACTAGCTTCGAAATACAGACTTAGACGGACAGAAAGAGTACAAGAATAATGCCGTATCTGGAAGAAAAACCTACACGCGCAAACCGCATACGCAACCTGATACAAACGAAAATAAGCACCGGGCACTGCTATAGCCGCTTATTCTAAAAGAATCAGGGAGGGTCGGTTTAAGTAAACGATATGATTCCCCCATATTTTTTTGTCTACTTTTTTTTTAATACTTTTACAGAGGCATAATCTAGCCTTAAAACCGGCATCCAGATGTCCACTCTAGTGAAAATATTTAGAGATAATAGCATGGCCTACCAGGAAGCAGCATCCAGACATATCCGGAGTAATTCTTTTGGTAAATGTCCTGCAAATCGTAATTAGCATTATGTAGGTTTTATATTTCACCAGAGAACAACAGCGGCCTGTCAGCTGAGCCCGAGACTATATGTGTAATAATTTGTTGATAATTTTAGTCAGTGCCCCTGACGAAATACGAACCAGCCTTACTGCACTTAGGTGCACGCGATCTGGTGAAAGCAAGCAAACAGAAAGTTTAAATAACTTTTTATAATAACCACAGCAATAGCCAAATGATTAGACGAAAAAATATTGAGACGTCTTAAAAAGTCAAAGCGTATGAAAACCACATTCTGCGAAACTTACTTTGGATGTCTGGTATTTTTTTTACGGACCTCAAAGTCAGTCAGTCAGAGTTCCTTCGTGTTTCATTTACAGAGCTAGCGTTTTCTAGCTTCGATGTTATCTATATTGATGTTTCCGCCGATATGTATTCTTGTTTTAATTGTGTCCATCACACTAAAAAGTTCTCTTTTTGATTATATAAGGTCTAAAAATTAATTAGACCGTTCATAGCGGCTCCTTTTACATAACTCAATATTTAATTATCTCTTAATTATAGCCCACAAAACCTCATGTGCCAAGTATCAAGAAAATGTTGCAATATCTTTCGGGTAGATTTCATCTCAACAGTCAATAGGACACTGGCGACCTCGATAGCATTCATATTTGGTCAGCTGGTAAATCAATCACGTCGGGACATATAATTGCCACTCTCTAGGAGGTCAGACCATGTGTTTGACGGGATATGATAAGAAAATGTACCGTATCGCGGCCTTCTAGTTTCCGAGAAACAGACGGACGCCCGATCGATCCATTTCTATAGTTGGCCAACACTATTTTGCTTTAAGCATTCCAGGCACACACACAAACTTCCATAACATGTGATCAACTGTAAAATTTCTGTTTATTTTTTTGCGTATCTATTTCGCTCAGTGCCAACAACTAAAGATGCTATTTTGCTGACGATAGAAACAAGATTCGGCGATGGCTAGGAGAAATCGCCTCTACGAAGTGAATCTACTGGTGTATTAATCTATGTGCTTGAGTTTTCAAACGAAACTATGATCAAATCCTGTTACAGATGCAAAGTTCTAAAAACAAAAAAAAAAACACTGGCCGTGCTCGAGTGAGCAACTAACTAACTAACTGCCACGGATCAAAGTTTTCTTTAAAAAGCTATACACACATTAGAAATGTGTACAATTAAATATTGAGTTTATAATAAGAAGTGCCTTCGTCTAATAGCAAACAATACGTATAATAATAATAATAATTGCTAATTATGATACCATTACGGTATAGAATAAGGTAAGGAATGCAAATGTTTAAGACCTACCCGAGTGGAGTTTACATTATTTTCATTCATACATATTACAGATTGCTGTGACTTGATAATGGACGTTTTTGCGCATCCGGCCTAGTTAGTTGGCCGGACTGCTAAATTGTGCTCAGATGATGACGGTTACAGGACGGAGGAATAGCACTAAGTATCGCTTCAGCACAGAATTCACACCTAATCACCACGCAGGTGGCCTATCTATGGCTTTTACCACATTGTGAACCTGCGAGCACTGAATTTTTTTTTCGATAGGACTGGCAGCTTATAAAGCTACTCTATACAACCATAACTAGCCGATTAAAATTAAATTTTCACTTGAGCAAATCGAGTGGTAACTTCGCGTTTGTTTCTTAAGAATTTATCTTGTTTGGACGTATGGGATATAGGGAAGATGTGAGCGCACGGATCTTTTCTTCGTTGCTTAAGCTTTATTGCAACTAACTCTTTAATAGCGGAAAACTTTCGAAACAGGTGGCCACGATATCATTGCGTTACCTCTATGGACCTGGGGAATAATTTCGAATAAGTTACATATTGTTACATCTCTGAAGAATAATTTACTGTCGCCTATTTTTTTTACATATTTCGAGTTTCACGTCTAGTGTCATCGTTCTACATGTCATCAAATGTCTGGCTCCCGTCACAGAAAGAAATGTTGAAATTCGGGTTCGAACCTACAACATTACGTATCTCTCACGAACACGTTACCCTCTAAGGTATCGCCGGCACGTGAAATGCTACGCCAGTTGTAAATATTAAAAAAGACTTAAAAAATAACAGAAAAAGATGAAAAGAAACACTATGTTTTATACGAGTGTCGATTCCAGATCTTAATGTTTTCAAACCTGATCCGTTATCAAGTTCGCGATCGCAACATAATCGTTTGAAAACGTGTATTTTGCCTAGAGAGGGTTTTAGAAAACAGCAAAATTTACTACATATCTTCTTATTATTGTTTATTTAATTTCACTAAGCAAAAATGGGTTATGTGTTTACCAAAGACACAGAAACCGTTTCAAGCTGTTTGGATAAAAAACAATTGAGTCCTCGGCTCTTTTACTATTTGAAATTTATTAGGAACAGAATTAGAATGTATCTTTGAATACCAATTCATGTATTTTTCAGTACACCAGCTGCACAGGCAAATTTCGCAGGCCGGCAAATAGTGGTCGGTCGGCACTGCGGAGGCTATACATAGGGGGTTAGGCAACGGTGTCCAGGATGGTAGTGACAACAGATTGCTTATTTCCAGTCAAACTTTATAGTAGATTATGATTTGTTATACTAATTGTGTTTAGGACAAAATTGTCGTACACCAACCACTGACTGACTCTGCCCTATAGCAAAGCTTCACGTCAAAATGGCAAGTAAGTTAAACTGCAGGTTACGCCATAATAATTTGCGTTGTAATACAGAGGAAAAGAAGTCTCGAATTTAGAACCTAAGTCACATACATATAGTACATCATAATAGATCAGCTGAAAAAAAAACTAACATATTGCGAAGTCAAGCTGGACACTGAGTTGAGCTGAATTACGGAAGCGTGTCGTTGCATCCGTGCGAAACCTACATCCCTTAGAATTCTATACTGAGGTCATGCTAAAAAATGTTGGCTTACTTTTATCGTATGTTTAGATTAACCAGCTAACGAGCTTCGTATCTCAGCAAAGTCATTGCAGGTCTGATAAATCTTTAAATACTCACCAAGCCGTAATTACCTGTTTTTGTATTCTGAGATAAAATTGTACAATACATTTAATTTACGCTTCGTGTTTTTTTTGTTTACAAAAAAAGAAAAGCTTTAATTGTTTTTTTTTTTATTTAAAAATTTATAACAGTGCATCAAAAATTAGAATGATCGAAAAGTACGCGAAGCGCAAAATGAGTACCAAATATCGCAAGACCATGATATAGGACAAAAGGACTGTAGAGTGGGTCCCATTAAATAAACATGTGCGAGTGTCGTTCGGCGTCAGATGGCCGCATTTAGGTTGGTACTGTTATGGGAACCTATACAGTCGTCGATACTGATAAAGGTAACTTTATTTGTTTACGTTTATGACGCATCCTCGAAGGTGCGCTGTATTTAGTACTCCAGACGGCCAAAGGAGCGTCTGCGTCACTTTCACTTATGAATTTTACTTAAAAAACAACGTTTGAATATCGTTGTAAGCTGTTAAGTCAACAGTTTACAAGTAAACTTAATAAGCTTCACAAATAATTTTATCAAATCATCTTTGCAAACAGCATAAGTTAAGGAATTTTTATATACAAATATTAATCGTTATTGGGTGTTCTTATTTGTTAGAAAAATGTTATGCTATCACTTTTTTTCAGTAGAGAGGACATACATTGCACGACATTTGTGATTAAATAGAAATGCAAGACATAGTTAGCAGTCAGTTAAGTAGGTTATAAGTTAAGTTTGTCTAATTTTTAATAACAGGCAGCCGTGCGTCAACTGCAATAACAAACACTTCTTCTTAAGCCAAACGTGAACATATCATTTCATTTAATATCTAAATAGTAATTACTACTTTTTTTTTGTAGATTATATATATATATATATATATCAAGGTATTACTTTTTGACATAGTTCCATAATTCATACCATTTGCTACGTGCCGTATGAAAAATACGTTCATGTTCTTCATTATTACTTCATATACTAATATGTGTGTATATATAGAAATTTGTGTTTTGTCTGACCAGGCGTAAGTTAGTATGAAACAGCTCGCGAAGATGCCACTTTTTTGGTCTATTCGCCTTGTCATTGTGTTTGATTTGTATCAGGGATGTCTTTATACCAAACTTTTTTACCCTCCTGTATTGACATTAACTTGAATCAGATGGGGCACAATTAAATAAGGACACTTCGCTTACTACGTGCCGCTTCATAATGCAATAGCGAAATAATTCCTTTCGTTTCATGTGGGCCATTGTTTTTTATCCTCCGCTTCGAAATTTATTTCCAGCTAACGATTTCCAGACTTGGACATATGTAAATATGTTGCTAATGCGATTACTTATATATTCCAGGCGCATGCGACAGAATCGCTCACTATCCATAAGTTTGGAAAACCATTTCAACGTTGCGTCCAGTGGCTTCATTCATGCCTTCACGAACCCTTTATCCACGTATCAACACTTGATGTTTCGTCATCTCGG